CATATACAAGTAGAGAATACACTCATACACATAAAATAAAAATTAAAATGTTTAAAAAAAATAACAAAATCAACTGAAGGGAGAAAGGATTTATTTTGCCTCAGTTCAAGGGCACAGTCCAAGGAAGCAGAGGATGAGAAATGGGTGCTGCTGCTCAGTTTCCTTTCTCCATTTATACAGTCCAGATCCAGCTAGGGAATGGTGACACAGCAGTTGGGTCTTCCAGGTGATCTGTCAGGTTGACAGTTGACACTAATAGTCATCACAAATAATAACTCCAGGGTCTGCCTCAGAATGCCCTTTGACAGGGGTTATTGTAATCCAATTCCTTTTCCTCTGCTTTCCTTGCTGAGTACAGTTGGACAGAGTTTTTGTCATTTACTGGCCTATAGTTCTGATTTGAACTCTGAACCCTGGTTTCACAGGGAAAGGTTGAGTTTAAGAAAGCTCCTCAGGGGGCTAGAGAGATGGCTTAGCGGTTAAGAGCACTTGATGCTCTTGCAGAGGACCTGTGTTAGATTCCCAGCACCCACATGATAGCATACATCTATAATCCAGTTCAGGGATTCTGTGCCCTCCTTAGACTCCGAAGGGCTCCAGACATGGACATGGTGCACATACATACATGTAGGTACTCACACTAACACAAAATACATTTTTTAGAAAAGAAGAGCCGTGCGTGGTGGCACATGCCTTTAATCCCAGCACTCAGGAGGCAGAGGCAGGCGGATCTCTGTGAGTTCAAGGACAGCTGGGGCTACAGGGAGACCCTGTCTCAAAAAGACCAAAAAATGAAGAAGAACGAAAGCTCCTGAGGCTGATGAGATGGCTCAGTTGAGTAAAGGCACTTGCTACGAAAGCCTGTCTACCTGCATCCAGTCTGGAACCCCTGCAAACTCCACAAAGTGATCTTCTGACCTCCACATTTGTACCATAGCATGGGCATGCCCACATAGACAGAATCATAAATAATAATAAATTTAATTAAAAAAATAAGTAGACGTCTGAGTATCTTAGAGGCTTCTGGAAGTAGTAGAACTTTGATTTAGAGCAAGCAAGGCAACTTGAGAAGTAATATTTATGTTTTTATTTTATTTTATTTTTTGGCCTTTTTGAGACAGGGTCTCCCTGTAGCCACAGCTGGCCTGGATTCGCTGTGGAGACCAGGCTGGCCTCACAGAGATCTGCCTGCCTCTGCCTCCTGAGTGCTGGGATAAAGGCGTGTGCCACCATGCCCGGCTGAGAAGTAATATTTAAAAACTAACAAGAAGGAATTGTAAAAAGATGTGAGCATGTGACCCTGCAGTGGCAGCCCTCCTAGGGCCTGTCTTTCAGAGAGCCCTTATATGCCTCATTAAGGAAATTAAACTCTCACCTTGTGGATATCTGGTTTCTAAGCTGACTGCTGGCCAAAAGCAATTACCTAGCAGTAGAATTAGAAACAATTAGAGTTGGAGAGAGACTGGTATCAGGGAGGCCATTAGGCAGTAGATTTGATTTGTTGTGTTTTGATTTTGGTTTTTTGAGACAAGGTCTCCAGGTAGCCCTGGCTGCTGGCCTGGATCTACAGAGAGCCACCTGCCTCTGTGTCCAGAGTACTGGGTTTATAGGCCCAGCAGGCAGTAAGATCAGTAAATGAGAAAGGGCTTTGATGTGAGATGTAGTGGTAGTAGGAATTAGAAGGATCAGGATCAGGACTGAAGATGACTTCCAAGGTTGAAAGTCAAGAGATTACACTCTAAGGTGAAATTTGGTAACAAATTTCGTACACAACTGAGGGAGGGAGATTGGGGGAGCGTTTGTTTCCTTTTCTTTCTTTTTTTTTTTTTTAATAATTTATTGAGAATTTCATGCATGCTTATAAGGTGTTTTGATCAAATCCATTCCCACTCCCTCCTCTCCAACTCCTCCCATATCTCCCCATCACTTTCTTCTGTTAACTTCATGTACTCTTTCTTCTTCTTTGATTTATTTATTTTTTTAATGGGGCTTTTGGCTACTCTTAACATTCCTCCCTCTGAAGAGGTAACCCTAAAATCTTTGAAGGATTAGATAAAAGCCCCCAAGTATTTTTGACATTTTTTGTCTTTGGAACAGAGTATGTTGCTAAGAGGCCTAAGGGCATTGTGAGTTTTAGCCAAGAAACTGGCTACTTTTCTTTGGGGTCTTTTTACCCTTACTGCTTGGCCAGTTCCTACCTCCTATTCTTATCACGCCATCCTCTGAAGAGGCTACCCAAATTGCCAATAGGGAATCGGGATACAGACTGCTCTGGCTTCCATGCTAAACAGGGATGCAGGGTGAGGCAATTGGAGTACTCCTTCAGTGGGTCTATCTAAAAGACTCCCAAATTGCATAACTCTTATCTCTAGGGGGAAAAGAATGTCCTTGGATTGTGAATAGGAGATGTGAAGGAGAAGTAAAGACAAGAGTAAATAGCATTACAAGTTCTAGACAGGGAACTAGAAAAAAGTCAGAACAGGGCAATTTTCAAATGTTCATATGAGAGTCCATTGGAATTTCTTGACAAGGGCTTCCGAAAGCATCCCTCTATCCAGTTCTTCCTCATTTTTCTTTTGTCTTCCAAGGCTGGACTAGTTGGCTGGGAAGAATGGCTGGATACTCAGGTGAGGGTCCAGTGACCCTGCTTGGCACTCCTTTAATGAATGAGCACAACCATCAACAAGCCCAATTGTGATTACATCTAGATAGGGGGAGAAAACAAATTTATCCATCATTTTAGAACATTAGCTGGTTGTCTCCCTTAGCTGTCGGTGGGCACTACAGTATTGGAGACCAAGACTTAAGGTCTTACATCTAAGCAGCACTTTCTGGGTTGGGGATTTTTTGTTTTTTGTTTTTTGCATTATTACAATGCTAAGGATGAATCCACAGTCTTAGGCATGCTAGGCAAGCACTCTACCACTGAACTACCCAGCCCTAGATTGTTTTTTAATGTAGCTTTTTAGAATGAAAAATATATTAAGACAGAGAGGGGGGGAGGATGGTGGGGGCTGAAGAGAGGGCTCATTGATTACAAGCACTGACTGCTCTTTCCAAGGTCCTGGGTTTAGTTTCTGGCACTCATTTAATGGCTAACAGCTATCTGTAACTCCAGTTCCAGGGAATCCTACACTGTCTTCTGGCTTCAGTGGGAACTGCATACACGTGGAGATACATGCAGGCAAAACAGTCATATACATAAAATCAAACAATTTTTTTAAAATTAAAAATAAAAGTAAATGGGAGGCATGTAAATGGTTTAGAACATGTTAAATCTGAGATGCCTTTAGACAATTTGGAAGTCTAGATTTGACAACCAAAGAGGAGGTTCTAAATTGCTATATTGGAAGTTAAAGCCACAGAAGGGGATGAGATACCTCAAAAAGAAAGTGTTGGTGAGGAAAGAAGACTGGCAGTGTTATCCTGAAGACCTCCATGTTAAAGGAGGAGCCAGGTACATGGTACTAGAGGAAAAGGAAGTGCCAACTAGTAGGAGAGTGCTAACTATGTGAGTCTTCAGGTGGTCCTGATGGGAGAGTAGTATAATGGATAGGTAATTCAACAGTCATGTGAGATTTTAGGTAGCACATTTAATACTATGACCCTGTTGCCTCTGCTTGACAACAAACTATGACCAATATTTCAAACCTTAAATTTCTTTCTTTTTTTGTTGTCTTTTTGAGACAGGGTCTCCCTGTAGCCCTAGCTGTCCTGGAACTCACAACATAGACCAGGCTGGCCTTGAACTCACAAAGATCTGCCTGACTCTGCCTCCCAAGTGCTGGGATTAAAGGCATGCGCCATGACCCCCAGCTTCAAACCTTAGAGCTCAGTTCCTAGCACCCACATCAGGGGCTCACAACTGCCTGTAACTCCAGGTTTTGTTTTATTTTGTTTTTGGGTTTGTTGTTATAGTTTTGAGACAAAGTCTCACTATGTAACCCTGGCCTGGAACTTGCTGTGTAGATCAGGCTCGCCTCAGTCTCACAGAGATCCACCTGCCTCTTCCCGAGCGCTAGAATTAAAGGTGTGCATCACCACACGTGGCCCATAGTTCACTTTGTTAAAGGTAAAGTTTGTAACTGAGCTTATTTAAGTTATTAAATAAGTCATATATTTCATTCATAGGAATAGAGGTTAGGCTATTTTTTTGGAATCTGTTTTAGTTTGCTTTTCTGTTGCCATGATAAAATACTCTGACCAAAAGCAACTTGGGAGGAAAGGGTTTATTTCAGCTTACAGGTTAGTCTATCATCAAGGGAAGGCATGGCAGGAACTTAAGGCGGGAAGTCCCAGCAGAAACCACAGAGGACTGCTGCTTACTGGTTTGCTTTCAGCCCAGCTGGGGCTACAGGGAGACCCTGTCTGAAAACACAAACATACACACCACACACACACACACACACACACACATACACACACACACACACACACACACACACACACGCGCCAAAACAACACACCACCTGGGGCTACAGGGAGACCCCGTCTGAAAAAAGACAACACACACATCCTACTACAGGGAGACCCTGTCTGAAGAAAGACACACACATACCTGCCAAAAAAAAAAAAAAAGTGCTCTGTTATGGAAACAATATAACCAGTTTGTTTGTTTTTAAAGATTTTATTTTTATTTTATGTGTATGTTTGTATTGTCTGCATGTAGGTTAAGTGCACCCATGTCATGCAATGCCCGAGGAGGACAGAAGAGGCTATTGGATCCCCTGGAACTGGAGTTATGGACAGTTGTTAGCTGCCATGTGGGTGCTGGGAATTGAACCTGGATCTTCTGCAAGAACAGCCAATGTTCTTAACCCCTGAGCCATCTCTCCAGCCCCTATAACCAGTTTTTATTAGTGATAACAGTCCTTATTGGTACGAATGGGACCACACTAGAAAAGACTACTCATGCCTAACTGTGATATCTTTTAAGTAAGAATATTTGTAATGTAGAATTGTGCCTGAAATTCATATTCAATTTTGTTTTTACTTACTAGGATTCATGTTCTCACAAGCCATGAAGAAGTGGGTACAAGGAAATACTGATGAGGTAAATTTTTAGTATAAAAATAGAAGTACCACCTTTGTCTATACATCATAAGGTTCCAAGTTTTCCTTGCCTTTTTTTTTTTTTTGGTCTTTTTGAAACAGGGTCTCCCTGTAGCCCCACCTGGCCTAAACTCACTATGTAGAGCAGGCTGGCCTTGAACTCACAGAGATCCACGTGCCTCTGCCTCCTGAGTGCTGGGATTAAAGGCATGTACCACCATGCCCAGCATAGAGTACTTATAATAACTTATGAACATGATTTGAAATACTTCTGAAGAGTTGTTGTAGAGTTCTAGATTTTTCTTATACTCTTCTCACCAGATAGAAGAGGTTGTCACTTAATATTAAATATGCAGAAAACATTAAAAACAAAACCCTAGCTGGTCATGGTGGCGCACACCTTTAATCCCCCAAAAAACAAACGAAAAAAAAAAAAAAAAACACCCTACCAAAATGATGATTCTGGATAAGAATCTACCAAGATATCAAGAAACATTGATTCACTTGTATTTTCTGCCTCCCAAGTGCTGGGACTACAGGTGTGCACCACCAATACCTGGCTTCTTTAGTCTCCTTGTTTAAGCAGATGACATATCCAGTGCTCCCTTATCCAGCCTGTGACAAGGAAGGCCCTTCTTAGCATCTAAGAATTGCCTCTGGTAACAGTGAAAGTATCTTCACTGAAATGTGTCTATGCTCAAGTTTCTACCCATCAGCAGATCATCAGTGCAGAGACAGGAGCCGAGGTGTTTTCTTCTCCACTGTTACTTTCACTTTTAGAATTGAAAGCCTGCCTTTCAAATAGTTAAGTGCATTGAAGGATGAAAATGGGAAAAGAAAAGTACTCTATTTTGATCATCAATCATGAAAGTATTTATGATGTTGGCTACTTAGTAGTTGACTCTGCAAGACAGTGAACAACATGTTATTACACCATAGCCAGAGGTGACCAGATTCTTTAATACACGGGAAGGTTCTTTTTATCCAAATGATATACATGTAATAGTTGTATTTAGAGCACTGATTATATGTATCTTGATCCTCCTAATTAATAACTGTGATTAGCAGTTTGAATTACTTCTTTTAGGCCCAAGAAGAGCTTGCTTGGAAGATAGCTAAAATGATAGTCAGTGACGTTATGCAGCAGGCACACTGTGATCAACCATTAGAAAAATCTACAAAGGTAAGGATGACTTCTGACCTAGCTTTTTGTTGTTTGAGACAAGGTCTCATGTAGCCCAGGCTGGCCTTAAACTCTCCTTGTGACTGATGATGACCATCTTTCAGCTGCTAGAATTACACAGGCTAGTGCCATTATATGTCTTTATGATGCTGGAGAGCAAACCCTGGACTTTGTATATCCTAATCAAGCACTTTACCACTGAGCTACCTCCTCAAGTACTGACCTAACTTTTGTAAAATAAAATAAATAAATGTATGTAAGTATGTACATAATGCAATATATTTCAGATATTTAATAACAAAGGAAAAGGGCCAGAGAGATGGTTCAGTGGTTAAGAGCATAGTAACACAAAGTATACAAAGCACTGAGGTGTTTATGTCTTAATTACTGGAACTAAGTTAGCCCTAGAGTAAAGTACCTCAACAAATTTTTTTTTTAATATTTATTTTAATCTATGTGTACGAGTATATTGCCTGTACGTAAGTGCACCCATGTCATGCAGTGCTCTCAGAGGTCAGAAGAGGGTGTTGGAGCCCCTGGAACTAGAATTACAAATGGTTGGTAGCCGCCACATGGGTGCTGGGAACCAAACCTAGGTCCTCAGCAAGGAGCAGCCAGTGCTCTTAACTGCTGAGCCATCTTTCCAGTCCAGATTTATTTTATTTTTAAGTGTGTATGTCTGTGTGTGTCCTGTGAGTGTAGGTGCCTAAGGTGTCCATAAGAGGTTGTTGGATCTCCTGGAGCTGGAATTACAGGTGATTATGACCTGCTTGGAGTGGGTGCTGGGAACCCAACTAGGGTCCTTGTCAAGAGTAGTATGAGCTCTCAACCACTAAGCCATCTTTTCAGTCCCTGTGTTTCCTATTTTAAGTAATTAGAAAAGGATTAAATTGGACTGACAAGATGGTTCAGTGGGTAAAAGCACTTGCTGCATATTTAGTCCTTAGAACTCATGGTGACAGGAGAGAATCAGCTCCTGAAGGTTGTTCTCTGACCCCACATGAACCATGTGGGGACTGGGGATGTAGCTCAGTTTGTAGAGAGCTTGCCTGGCATGCACGAGGCCCTGGGTTTGATCAGTACCACGTAAACTTGGTGTGATGACTTACATCTGTAATCCCAGTCTGTAATCTCAGTACCTGAAAGGTAAGGCAGGAGAATTATATAGTTCAAGGCCATTCTCTGCTGCTTAGAGAGTTTGAAGCCATCTTGGATACATCAAACAAACAAAATCAATATAATTCAGCCTATTACCATACTGAAAAAGAAAAACTGACCCTAGAAAGATGCAAAAAAAGAATTTAATAAGATTTAACAGCTGCTGATAACAAAAACCTCTCAGGAAGCTAGAAATAGAAAGTCCATGACTGGAGAGATGACTCAGCAGTTAAGGCACTGACTGGTCTTACAGAGAACCCAGGTTCAGTTCCCAGCACCCACATGGCAGCTAACAGCAGTCTGGAACTCCAGTTCCAGGGGATCTGAATGCCTTCTTTTGGCCTCCACTTGCATTGCATACACATACAGGAAAAACACTCGTATACATAATCATAAAAATTATTTTTTGCAATAGGGTCTCCCTGTAGCCCCAGCTGGTTTGTAACTCACTACATAGACCAAGCTGGCCTCAGTGCCACAGAGATTCGTCTGCCAGAATGCTGGGTTTAAAGGCATGTGCTACCACACCTGGTATAAAATAGCCCCAATAGTTGGGGCTGGTGAGGTGGCTCTGGGGCATGTGTGTGTGTGTGTCTGTCTGTCTGTGTCTGTGTATATGTGGATACCTTGGCCCTTACAGCATATGCAAAATTAACTAAAAATGAATCATAGACCTAAAGAACCCAAACTATAAGGCAGGGACTCTTATATTCCCAGGCTGGACTCAGAATCACTGAGGATTGCTTTGAACTCCTGATCCTCTTGCCTCTACCTTCTAAATCTAAGGATTGCAGGTATGCACCACCATGCCCAGTTTTTGAGGTCTGATTGAAGCCAGAGTCTTGTGCATGCTAGTGAAGAAGCACTGTACCAACTGTACCCTAGTCCCCCAATATGTGTGAGTGTGTGTGTGTGTGTGTGTGTGTGTGTGTGTGTGTGTGTGTGTGGTGTATGTGTGCATGTATGCAAGTGCATGTGCCCATACCTGCACATCTAGAGGCCAAATCAGGACCTTAGATGCCTTCTTCTATCACTTTCCACCTTATTTTTGGAGACAGAGTCTCTCACTGAGCCTGAAGCTTTCCATTTCAGCTAGGTCAGTGAGCCCCCAGGAGCCATCTCTCTGACCCTTGATGCAGGAGTTACCATTACACCCAACTGTGCTCAGCTTTTACTAGGGATTTAAACTCAGATCCTCTTGCTTTCAGGATAGCTAGCTGATCCTTGAATTTCGGGGATTCTCTTGTCTTCACCTCCCATCATGCCATAGGCATGGTAGGCTTACAGATGTACACTGCTGCATCCAGCTTTACATTAGTTCTGGGGATCTGAATTCCCATCATAACACTAGTACAGCAAGCACTTTAACCACTGAGTTGTCTTTGCAGCCCTTCACCTTATTTTTTGAGGGAGAGTCTCACTGAACTTGGAGCTCACTGATTGTCTAGACTGTCTGGCCAGCAAGTCTCTGGATCCTCCTGTCTCTACAGTGCCTGGCTTTTTATGTGGATGCTGGGAATCCAAACTCAGGTCTTCATGTTTACACAGTAACCACTTTACTTACTGAACCATTTCGCCAGCCCAAAGTTGGTTGAGTTTTTTGAGACAAAGCTCAGGCTGACCTCAAACTTAGAGCAGTTTTCCCTTATAAGTGTTAAAAATTCTTTGTGAAAGTTTTCAACAATTCCTGTCATTTATGTTAAGCAAAAAGGAATCTTGAAAAAAATACATCAATAAGGATCCTTTATTTAATCAACAAGCCCAAAGCCTCAACCTCTTGTGAGAATCTCAGTGAGACTGAGGCCAGCCTGTTCTACGTAGTAAGTTACAGACCAGCTGGGGCTACAGGGAAACCTACCTCAAAAAAAGTTTTTTTTAATTCTTAAGTGCATGAATGTTTTGCCTGTGTGTATGTAAGTGTGTAAGTACACCATGTGTGTGTAATGAAAGTGGAAGCCAAAAAAAACTGTATCCCAGTTCTAGGGAAGTATGTTCCATGACATCATCCGTAGTTTTGATACTTTGGATTTGGTGCAAGTCCAGCATCACTCTTGCCCTGCCAATTGTCAGCCAACCTTTTTCTCTGCGAACTGTCATCACCACAGCTTGTTTTAATTATGAACTTTTCACTGAGCTGATTCATACCAAAGTCCTATTACTTTTGCAGACTCTTTTCTCTAAGGGTGATAATTTTTGTCTGTATTTATCTCCTGGCTCAGTCAAACCTAAAATAGTAGAGAGCAAGCTAAAGGTGTATAAAGAAGTGCAAGATAGTTATTTTTGTGATTCTGCAGCACCATGTTGATGATCAGGTGTTTGAAAATAAGAAAAAACTTTTAGAAACCATTTTGAAACCCAGATAGTAAAAATTTAGAAATCAGACTCCTCATTTAAATTGAGTGTTCATATTTTATTACCATGTACTTTTTATTTTTTAGGAGAACTAATAATATTTTGATATGTATACATTTTTTGAGCTTGCTAGACTTTGCCTTTGGTATGTCAGGGTGTCTGTCCTTTTGTCCTTCAGGGATCATCAATGCATTGGTATTGAGGAAAAACAATACAAAACCAGCATGTATTTGTTTAGTAGTGCTGTGGATAGAACCAGAACCTCCTGAATGCTGCACTGCTGAGCCTGTCCTCCCAGCCTTTGAATCCATTTTTAGGTACTATGTACCTTTTGCAAGGGACTTGATTTCTTTAGCAATAGATCAGAGATACTGAATGATAAAACCTTGGATCCCCTTCAGTTCTTACTCTGATCATGAATGTTAGCAGTCCTGAGCTCACAGATCACTCAGTTTTTGTTATTTGTTTGTTTTTGTCGTTTTGAGACAGGGTCTCCCTGTAGTTCCAGCTGGCCTGGAACTTGCTTTGTTGACCAGGTTGGCCTTGAACTCACAGAGATACGCCTTGCCTCTCCCTCTCTGCCTCTCTGCCTCTCTGCCCCTCTGCCTCTGCCTGTGCCTCCCGAGTGCTGGGATTAAAGACTTGCACCATCACACCGAGCAGTGATCTGTTTAAATACTTCTTTTTTTTGAGCCCCTGTCTACATTTTCCCATAGAGTATACCCGGGCATTCAAGCGTAAACTGCCTCACATCATAACTGAATTGTTTCATGGGCTGTTCCATCTTGGAAGTAGCAGAAATCAGGTCTTCTGCAGTGTCTTTTTCTTCCCCAGTGCTGTATGTAAAGAAAAAAATGAGCCTCACAAACTTGGTCTTTCTTGGGTGTCTTAGAAGATCAAAAAAAGTTCTTTCATTCTTTATGAAGACTATGGCTGTTTGTATAATGAGACTCATGGGATTGATTAAAATATTTTAGGTTTTTATCTGCTAGAATCAGTGTTTTAGTAAATATCTGTGCATTAGTTTTTACCCTCTCTTAGGCGTATGCTAGGGTTGATTCCTATAAATAAAATCACCCTGTCAAAAAATGGGCCTATGAGTAGACTGGAGAGATGGTTCAGTTGATAAAGTGCTTAGGACCTGAGTTGATTTCCTAGTACCCACAGAAAAAAGCCAGGTACAGTGTTACTTGCTTATAATCCCAGCACTGAGGAGGAAGAGGGCAGCAGATTCCTGGGGCTCACTGCCTAGCCAGCCTGGCCTGATTGCTAAGCCAGTTAAGAGTCCCTGTCTCAAAACAAGGTAGACATGCCTGAAGAATAGCATCCAAGCTTGACCTGGCCTCCACATACATGTGCACAAATATGCATCTGCACATACATGAACACACCAAAAAAGTAAAAGGGGCTAGAGAGATGGCTCAGTGGTTAAGAGCATTAGCTGCTCTTGCAGAGGACCTGGATTTGGTTCCTAGAATCTACATGTCAGCTAACAACCATCTAAGTAACTCCAGTTCCAGGGTATCCAACACCCTCTTCTGAATATTGCATGACATGAGTGTGCTTATATACTTGTAGGCAATATACTCATGCACATAAAAAAAAATAATAATAAATTTTAAAAATTTGGGGGGAAGTCTTTTTGAGACAGGGTCTCTCTATAGCCCGAGCTGGCCTGGAACTCACTATGTAGACCAGGTTGGCCTTGAACTCAACAGAGATCGGCCCCCCTCTGCCTCCCAAGTGCTGGGATTAAAGTTATGTGCCACCATGCCTCGCCTAATAAACATTTTTTTAAAGTAAAAGAAAACAATAATATTTTTTATTCTAATAACCATTGTCAAAATAGAAAAAGTAAGTTCTTGGCCTCTCAGTTTCTATAAACTCATATGTATCAGAGAATAATATTTTGCCTCACAAGATGGTAGTCAAGCTCTATCATAAACTCTGAAACGTAGTAAGTACTAAGTACATGCTGGTTACCTTCTTCCTTAATCAGTATTGATAATATGTCACTTGTTATAGGAATGTACCTTACCTTTTTTGTTTTCTTTATTTCTTTTCAGCTATGACTCAAGACCAGAGATAAGGAAATCTCATTTTGAAAAATAAGAGAACCTTTTTTCCTTTGGTTGGATTCAACACAGCCAATGAAAATAGAGCACTGTATTTCTTTTCACTGATCACTGTTGTTTCCGAGAAAGAATGGAGACAATCTGAGACCTCTGTTATTACGTGTAGATATAAATGATGCACATGATGTTAACACAGTGAGTCACAAAGATAGAGTGGTATTGATGACATTACTAGACAATTAGTTTTCTAGTGACAGTAATCACTCATTACCCACTGGAATAGTCAGGGACCACGTGCTGTTTGAAGCAGATAAACATGAGTTGATACACATGTTGCAGCAGGACTCCACTCCTAGCAGTGTTAGAAAGCACGAGACAGAGGTGCTTTGCTTTGTCCTGAAATTCACAGGTGAGTCAGCCTCACTGGGAACATACAGCTCCAAGTTGTGATGTGAGCCAGCAGCTTATGGAGCATGTGACAGTTCCTTGTGTAGTCTTCTTTCTCAGAGGCACTAATTTAGAAAGAAGCTGACAAGTCATGGGTCAAAGCTCAGTGATCTTGTTCTTTTTGCTCCTGAGAGGTGACATCCTTAAAGGCGGTCTCTTCTGATAACAAAAGGGTGTATTTAGTTTACTTTGAACATTAAGACCTGTTTCTCTGGAATTCTATGCTCCACTTGCTTAATTCCCTCTTCAGAATACGTGTGGGAAAAAAAATAACTATCACTCCGATTTTTCCCATGTAGAACCTGGAACGAAATGGTTATTCCCAGATTATACTTTATTTTTTCTAATAAGGTGGGGAGAAAAGCACTCTCCTTTGAATGCCTCCTCAATTCTTCACTGTGAGTGGGAAACATGCAACTGCCTTTTCCCTTTCTATTTTCAGTGAGAGACTCATTCTGCCCTTCTGCTTAGTCGGCTTTGCATCTGCAGCACAGCCATTGGCAGGGCCACCCAGTTGGCAAGCACACTCCCCTGGCTACGTGGTGCCAGCGCTTCCTTGATGTACATGACTGTTTAGAGGGAAAGGTGTTATTCCTTTTGCTCAGACTTTGCAAAAGAATATATAAATATATATTATTATTAATCACCTCTGTCCTTGGGGAAAGTCTTGAATGAATAGAGAATTTATTTCATTGCAATATTGATTGTATGGAGGCACACTGTTTATCAACAGAAGAAGCAAAAAGGCTGTGTATAAGTGTTTGGTACTATGTACCACCTCTGTTATTCTAAAGCTGAAGTATTCATGTACTTAAACCATATTCTATTTAATTGTGTTTGATTTTAAATATATATATATATATGAATTATATTTAAATTGGTGTCAACTTCCTGCTTTCAGGGCATTCATGGCTCTTCTATTGAAATATACTGCTCCTTCTAATATTTCCATTTGCTTTACAAAACCCCAGAACATGATCCACTACTGGACTTGGCCTTGTGTTTGGAGTGTAGGCATAGATTTGAGGGTTTTATTAGTATATTTGCTGTGGTAACTCATTTTGTTCTTTTAACAAAGTATTTCTCTCCATTTCACATTGCTTCAAACAGAAAAGCAATATAAAGGTCTAGAATAAAATGTGGTTCTGGGTGACTCTTACTGCCTCTGCATGTTTTAGAATAAAAATTTCTGTGAGACTCTAGGCTATTTAAACTAGTGTTTTTGGTTAATATAATTTCTAGTTGTTTCTTTGTATACATTTTGTGTTTCTGAGCTAGAGATGCAAGTGTTTTTGTGAACTTGTAAGGGAAAGAAGGGGTAAGTTTGAGATTGGCTTTCTTTTTTTCTGTTCCATCAGCTATGAGATACAAATGGTGTGGCCTGAAATTATTAGTCCAGTTGAATGCTAGATTGTAAGTAGACCCTTGTACTCATTTTAAAATTTTATTCACCTAACATTGAGTATTCACCATGTTCCAGGCTCCACATTCTATGCTAACAAAATGTGATTCCTTGACAGGATTTTTGTAAGTCTGAGGAAGCGGTTGAATACTCTTCTTTCTTATCCTGCCATTGACAGCAACACAGATTGTTAAAAGTAAAAATATTAATGAGAAAGTGACACCATTAACCTAGCTTGTCTTCATCACTCCATTAAGATTTGATGAATGTAAAAAGTTAATATCACCTAAGTCCAATGAAGAGCAATAAAACAGGAAGCACCTTTTCCTGCTTGGGTTCCAGTATTCTTCAGGGCTCTTTGAGATATAAATCATTTACAGTTCTGGAGCTTTGACTTATCCTGTAGATACTTTATTGAAGAGACTTCACTCTGAACTGTAGAACATTACGTCATTCCTGGTTTGTTTTTTGTTTTGTTTTGTTTTAGTTTTTTGAGACAAGTCTTCACTGTGTAGCCTAGGCTTGCCTCAAACAAGAAGCCTCCTGCTTCAGCCTCTTAAATGCAGGGATTACTGGCATGGCCTCTATACCAGGTCTCTTTGTTTTAAATATCAACAAATAAGCATTTGATGTAGCTTCTAACCTCCATAAAGGCACTGTTGAGAAACTGCCTGACTCAGCACTCCCATTCCTATAGGAGTGGAGGCCATGTTTGTGCACAGTGACCTTCTTGTCTCACCCTCTTTACTCTTCCCAAGAATGCCATTTTGGGCCAGGGAGTAACTAATCCATATGGCCAAGATGGTCCTGTGTGTTAGGATTTTGCATGAAAAGAAATACCAGTTGCCACCTGGGAAGGTAGTCTGCATGATGACTTAGATGTGACACGTAGAAATGCAGAAGCTGGCACTGCATGAACAAGCCTGGGAGATACGCTGCCTTGGTAACCCTTAAGACTTCCCTAGTTTCTCCATCCAGTCCTACATCCTTTCTTTGGTCTCCATGCATCCTTCAGGTATGCTTAGAGTGGATTTTGATTTTTTTTTGTTCGTTTCTTTTTAAGTCAGCCTGAAGTGATTTGTCATTACATGCAACAGAAAGGTTCTTGACTAAAGTACTACTAGAGTGGTCTAAATCAGAATGACCATGCGTGTTCAGCACATTGCACAGTATTGATACATTTTGGAGCAGAAATTTTCTTTTGTAAACCTTTCTTAGTCATCTTGTGTATACTGTCAAAATGGAATCTTGACCTCCTGAAACTTAGGCACTCCCTTCTCTTTTAGTGAGGAGTTATTCAGACCTCAGAAAGGTTTCTGTCATATTTCAGAATGGCCACCATCAGAACTCATGCCTTCTAGGCTAGGGCTTCTTCAAGCTCCCCACACCTTATCTAAGGATAAGCATGATCCCCACTCTTAGCAATATACCAGGTCCAGAAATAGAAGGCATTTAAACTAGTATGTAACTAAGACATACTTCAAAATGGGAGAAGGGGTGATGATCATAAAATGTCTTAAGTGGTGACTGCTTCTATGAACTAGGCCAGATCTTTGACCTTTGGGTGGAGCCATAAAGTGTAGGAAGTAAACTACTTAGTAAAACCCTAAGGTTATGACTTGAGGGGCTCACACTAATAGTTACCCTCTGAGTCCTTTCCAGGATTTTGGGGAGGGTTGGGAGTGGCTCCAAGTAGGGGGCTGGTACTGTGGCTCTGGGCAGGTGAGGAAAACTACAGAAGGCATTTAGGGTACTGGTGTGAGCAAAGGCTCGAAGGATGTCTGTGTTGAGGGAGGGTGTGCATGGTAAACAGGAAAGTCAGTATCCTTGCCTTGGTGATTTTGAACAAACATGTATCCATCCCTGTTTTATTATTTTTAAATTGTCTGCTCTGGCACACTAGGGATGCTGTAGAACTTACCTGAATCATTAAGCTCCTTGCTTAAGAGTGGTGATACATCAACCACATGAGGAGCCTGTGGGCCTGGGCCCTTGGGTGGCCCCTAAAGCATTTGTGAACATGGGCTGGGCTAGGAGGGCACCCTGTGCCAGCTCGTTTGTGAGGTAGCAAAGAGATCTTGGAGTGGGCTAAAGAGCTGCAATTTCCCGAGGAGCAAGTGAGAGGTAAGGATTGTGAGAACTGTGGCTTTTCTTCTGGCTTTAGGTTTCTAAAACCCCCTTTTTGAATGTGCCTTCAGGCTCATTCCTAAATGATCTCACAATGACCTCTACCTGTGTTCATAGCAAGAATCCCACCTACCACACCCTTGTAAAAGAGGTGCCAGCCAGGTGATGTGTTGGCACCTGTAATCCCATAGTGAGACCCTGTCTCAAAACTAAAAAAAGGAGTTGGAGAGATGGCTTGGTGGCTAAGAGTGTGTACTACTCTAAAAGAGGATCCACATGGAGTAGCTCACAGTCATCTGTAGCTCTAGGGGGATCCAAAGCCTCTGGCCTTGGCTCGCACCTGCACTCACATGCACAGATACTCACACACAATTAAAAATAGTCTCTAGAGCCGGGCATGGTGGCGCACATCTTTAATCCCAGCACTTGAGAGGCAGGAGGCAGACACAGGCGGATCTCTGTGAGTTCAAGGACAGCCTGGTCTACATAGTGAGTTCCAGGCCAACTGGGGCTACAGGGAGACCCTGTCTCAAACAAAACAAAACAACCCCCCCCCTCATGCCAGTAGCCTCTAGCTGAAGGAAACATTTGGCTCTTTAGACAGGTATCACTCTTAAGTGGTGAGTCTCGCCTTAGGAACTCACCAAAACCCAATTGACCCTCCCAGATTTTAGTTTCCCTTGTCTTGGCAAAGAGCAGTTTTTGGTCCTAATTAAAGAACTACTAGTTGGAGGTGGCATGGTGGTGCACGCCTTTAATCCCAGCACTTGGGAGGCAGAGGCAGGTGGATTTTTGTGAGTTAGAGGCCAGCCTGGTCTACATAGTGAGTTCCAGGACAGCTAGGGCTACAAGGAGACCCTGTCTCAAAAAGACCAAAAAAAACAACAACAACAAAAAAAAACTACTAGTTGAGTAAATGTTATTTATAGTTGAATGATAGAAGAGAATAAAACTGGGGCTGGAGAGATGGCTCAGTGGTTAAGAACACTGTTCTTACAGAAGACCCGGGTTCAAATCCCAGCACCCACATGACAGCTAACAACTGTAACTCCAGTTCCAGGGGATCCGACAGCTTCTTCTGTCCTCTGCAGGCATTGCGCGATATGGGTGCACTTACCTACATGCAGGCAATACACGAATACACATAAAATAAAATAAAAAAAAAAACAAAACAAAAAACTAACTTCCAGAACCCCCTTGAAGCTTGCATTCTACTGAGCTTGAAATGAAAGTTGGAAGTTGTATCTAAAATGACTGGCCTGGAACGTAGTTCAGTGGTAGAATGTGTGCTTAACATTCTATCTGGGTTTCATCCCCAGCACCAATAAATAAATAAAATATGACTCATATGTGGCCTTTTGATCCCACCATTTAACTCCTCTACTTTCCCCAGTTCTATTGGGAATCATCACCCTTCCATGCCCTTCCAACTTCACTATTAACATGAGAACAAGTCACTGTATTATTCCATTTACTTGATGCAGGACTACAAAGCTAGTCTCTGAACAGGACAAGACTTAGAGCTCATAGGTTTTCTGCAGAGCTTTGGGATATATTAATTCTTAGAACCTAGAAACATGGAGATTAATGTAAACTTATTACATGCACATGATATGAAATCATGATCTT